GAAAGGAGGCTTGCTCCTCCTCTTTTGCTCTTGTTGCTTTTGCTGTCTTTTGCCACCATAAACTGTTGTCCCTCTGCCACACCACTCTGCCTTGGAGCCAGCTGACTATGGACTGAAACCTCCATAAACTGTGAGCTAGATAAACTTTTCCTCCCTAAATTTTTGGTGTCCGTTATTTTGTCTCAGCAACGAGAGAAAAGTAACTAAGACAGGCAGTGATGGCAAACCTTTTAGAGCTCCCAGTGATACAAACAGCTTGCTGTGGCAGTGTGCCATAGGTTCGCCACCACTGCACCAGAGTTTAGCAGATTTCATTAAAGCAAGACCACTCAGTTTCAATTAAGTAACCTCCAGAAATCCTCAAAAGGGGCTACATATGTACAACTCCTTCAAACAAACTTGATGTCAACATCTCTTTTCAGTTGACCATATCATGGGATGAATACATGGAGAAGAGGAGACATTGTTTTAAGAAAAATCTGTATTTTGGGATCCTCCATCTTCTTCATTTCCCTCTTCCTCCTCTCCTTTTCTTCCTGTTCTGCTACCTCCTCCTTCTCCTCCTCCTCCATCTGTTCCTCCACCTCTTTTTGTCCACTTTACTCCCTCTCCTATTTCTTTTTCTTCTCCTTCTTCCTTTTTAAAAAGAAATTTTTTAAAAAAGAGATGGGATCTTGCTATGTTGCCCAGGCTGGCCCTGAGCTCCTGTGCTCAAGCAATCTTAGTCTCCCAAGTAGCTGGGACTATAGGCTGCCACCCAGCTGGTTCTCCTTTAATTTTTCTTTCTTTCTTTTTTTTTTTTTTCTTTTTTTTTTTCTTTTTAAGACAGGGTCTCACTATGCAGTTTAGGCTGCCTTGAGCTCACTTTGTAGCCCAAGCTTATCTTGAATTTGCAACGATCCTCCTGCCTCAGCCTCCCGAGTGCTGGGATTACAGGTGTTCGCCACCATGCCCAGCATTGGTTCTTCTTTTCTAATCTATCCTTTCTGTAGGCAGCTAGAAAAATCTTTCTTAAACATAAAGCTGATAATATCACATCTTTTTTATTTCTTTAAATGATTCCTCTAGGATAAATTTTAAACTCCTTTATGTAACATAAAAGGCCTTTTATGATCTGGCCTTTGCCTTTTCTCTAGCCTCCCTCTAGTCATCTCATTTCCCTCTCACATCGTGAACTTTTGGCAGTGCTGAGAACTGATCATATTCTCCCTAGTCTTTTTATCTGCTACACTCCCTTCATGGACCACTTTCTACTTCCCACTTTACCTGATCCTGATTCTGCCTCTGATCCTTTCAGACTAGATTCAAGTGTCAGGTGATTTACAGTCATACTTTGAGCAATGCTTACTATGTGCCAGGCATTACACCAGGGCTTGAACAAACATAATCTCTGCCTTGGAGGGGCACAGAATCAAATGAAATCAAGCAAGTACTGTATTATGGTATGCTAATGGCCACAGCAAATGATCTTCATTTCATTTTAACCTTCAACCTTCATTTTAGAAATTTGGCACTAACAGTTTATTTCTTTCTCACAGCATGGGCCTGTTCAGGTACCACTTTGCAATTAGCCAGGGCCCCAGACTCATGCTACTGTCATTTTCTGGATCGCCACTGGGTCATTTTGTAACTGGCCAATATGTGAGGAAAGGAAGAGAGTTTGGGGGCTCAAATGGGAGTTTTTAGGGGATATCTATATATGGGACCTATCTATTACTGCTGTCCAGATCCCATTATCTAGAACTCAGTCATATGGCCCCACCTGATTGCTGAGAAATGTGATTTTGCTATGAGCCTAGGAGGAAAAATGAAATGGGCTGGTGAAAATAGCCTTTATTTCTACCACCGATGTACAAACAAGAATAATGAAGATGCTCATGGTCTAATAGAGAAAAGAGACAAACAGAGGCAAGGAAGAAGACATGGTCCAGAAGGTTGCATCTTGTATTTGTGGAGTTACTGTAAAAACGTTCTAGAACTGCTGGAAGCTCTTCTGTGACTCCCTTCAGAGGTCCCACAGGTCATCCTTCTGGGGCGCCTTGGAAATGGGGACATACAGTATGGTACAGAAGTTCATACATCATTGGTATCTCCTCTGCAGTAGACCATCTCTTGTTCCAGCAGCTGCTTTGGCATCCAGCTGTGTTGACCCAGCTCTTTGGCATCCAGCTCCATTTAACTTCACACAGCTGCATCTGACAGCACTTTGCCTCGTGGCCCTGCCTCTTGCCAGGGTCCCTGTTGACACTGTTTTGGGATGCTACTGAGGCCCACTTGGCATCTAGGCATAAACAAGTTGTAGGAATCTTTATCCAATGAGCAACAAGCTAGTGGATAAATTTCCTTCCCTTCCTCCTTGCCCTAAAAACAACACCGAGGCTGGTTTTATATGTCTTCTCAGAAGATAAGCTGAGTAGAAGCAACCAACCACACTTAGGAGAGGCGAGATTAATAACCATCTTGGTAACTGGTTTTTTCCCCCTACTTTACACTTTTGCCTCACTCCTACAGTACAAAATCAGGCTCTGATTTTAGAGAACCCCAAACCAGCAAAAAGCAACTTGGCTGTCTCTCTTCCTCTCCACATACACGTAACACACCCAGTGCTTCTCCACAGGTCCTTCCCAGCTGCTGCTGAACTGCTTTAAGAGTCAGATTCCATTAAACCCTTTCAGTTCTGCAGACTTACTCTTTCAAGGGCAAGCCTATTGCCTCTCCTGCAGGTAGCCTCGGACCCTTCCTCTGTCCTACTCAACTGCCAATCAGTCATGTACTCCTATTGATTCTTTGGGGACCTAACACTGTGTCTGTGTGTGTTTCACTTTTCTTGTGCTGCTGACTTTTCTCAATGTTTAAGAACAGCAATTACTGACAGTTCTCCCTCCCGCACCTCTTCAAGCCATCTCTTTTCTCCCATTCATGCTGTTCACTCTGCCTAGAGCCCCATTTCTTCCCCAGATCATTGACTAGAGCTGCCCCCAGGCAGATTCCAGGTCTGAGCCTCTTGAGCACTTCGAGAGTTCTGGGACCCTTGATTCTGGCATTTGGGCTGAGAAGGCGGTAACTATTAACTGCCTGGTTCTGCTGCAAGTTCTGCTGGCTGCATCAACAGCCAGCATAGGAGGTCAAGTAAGCTGTCCCTGCTGAGCATCAAGGGAGGGAGAAAGAAGCAGTTCTCTGTGTACTCACTCAACGGTTCCACAGCATTGGAGGTCCTTAGGATCTATGTGTAAATCTCCACCTTGTGCCCAACTAGACTCGAAGTTCCTTGAGGACAATGATGTTGTCTAGCTTGCTTAATATTGTATTGTATTCATGCATCTAGAACAATACCTGGTGCTTAATACATGTTTGCTTAAGAAAGAAAAAGAGGAGGAGAAAATGTCGTGAAACATTTTGGCCATCCTTGAATCAAACGAAAGAAACGTGCCTAGGGCAGTCAGAGTGCCTAGGGGAGTCAGACGGGTGGCAGGGGGCTGCTACCTCTGTATTTTCAAACTGTACAAATCTCTAGTATCTGCCAATAAATAAAGAAGAATTGCACAGAAGACAGGGCCCCAGGCTGAAAGCCATGGAAAAACTGGGATTTCAAAGAAGCTAAAAATATTCTCTAGGGTGCAGTAGGGCACTGCCAAATCATTATAGTTATCCTTGACACACTCAAGCCCTCTTAAACTTAAGGGACAAATTGCTCTTGGAATTATCAAACTCGGATAGTTCCTGCTTCAATTAAGATAAAATGAGACTCTCAGAATCCAACCAGTTTCTCAGTGAGGATTGAAGAAGGACCCTCGACAGGGAAGGCAGGGGGTGAGAAGGAAGGGAGCCTTGGGAGGGGCAGTAATGGGATACCACAAGGAGAATTCAGCCAGGCATGGCAGACTCCCCATTCCTCTTTACCTAATTGCTCCTTCCCATCCACGGACTAATTTCCTTCCTCTCTCCATCTATTTTCTTTATGGCATTTATCCCTAGCTGCCTTTTATATTTATTTATTGTTTTTCTTTCACCTATTCCTTGGGAACAAGGGCTTTGTCCTATTGACTGCTGTATCCTCTGTCTTAGATCAATGTCTGGTATTTAGTGGCCACTTAAAAATTAGCTGCTAACGAACGAATTAGGGAGTATAACAATTAGTTGAATCGCTGCCATATGCTGGGCTCTGTCCTTGAGGATGCTACAAGGGTGTTGGCAGAGATAGGCCCGAAAATAAATACGCCATGCTCGACACCTGATTTTACGGAGGTATAACCAAGGCGCTGCAGGATCCCCGGGGCTGGATGACTCCCGTGGTGTGCGGGGTGGGGGCGGGGAGGCGGGATTCGGAGAAGCAGCCAGGGACCCAGACGCAGCAGCAGGAGATGTGACTGGAGACAGACGCCGTGGCTCATCTCTTCGCCTGGCCTCTCACTTAGCATCTCTTCCGGATGTGCGGGAGCCTTGCCTCTCCAGCGAAGATCTGCGCGACCTCGGCCCCCGCGTAACCCCACTGTCTTGGGAATCTAGTCACATCCTCTCTCAGCCCCAAAACAAACCAGCCCCAGGTCTTCATTGCTCGCCCGCTACCTGCGAGACCTCTACCTGCGGGCGGAACCACCGCCTCCGCCCCTGCCCGTGCGTGCCCCAGGTCCCCGCCCCCTGGTGCGGCCTGCGGTGTGCAGGACTCCGCCCCGCCCCCTCCGCCCGGGGGACCCCAGCTCCGCCCCGCCCCGTGGCCCTACCGCTCCTTCCCCGGGGGCGGGGCCGCGCGCAGCGGCGTCTCCGGCCGGGGGGGGCTCAAGGAGGGGGGGGGCGGGGCGGCCCCGTGTGAGCCAATCAGTGCAGCGATCACATCCATGCAAATACGAGCACAATGGAGCGAGCCCATCACTCGCCTCTGCAAGCAAGCTTGAAATGGGCTTCTGCCTGAGCGGCGGCGAGACTAACCAATGGGTCTGTGTTTGGGGCCTACACAACCCAATGGCGAGGCGGAGAAGGCGGGTCCGAGATGGGTTAGGGTGTCCTTGCAGGGTGTCTGAGCTAAACTTCACCAAATAATAGCTGTTTGTATTTTGGCTGCTGCAGGAGCCATTTTAGGTAAGTTCTTCTCTTAACTTTTTATTTTCCTCCCCGGCCTCGGCAGATCAGCCTTGTCTGCGGGCCCTCGGCTCCGCCCCGCCGGTCGGGCTGGGGTGCCCCTATGAATGGAGCTGGGATGGG